TGGGGGGGTGTCTTAGTATCTTAGTAAGGAAAGTGTCAAATTAAGCCTTCCCAGCTGGTTGTCTAGAAAGGATTCTCCTGTTTAACAACTAAGCACAATGAAAAGTTATGCAAAGGCCTTATCCACAGCAGGTGCATCACATTAATAGCTCCTTTTTAAAATGTCACTAAATAGCTACTTTTTAAAGTGTCACTAATGCATTATATTGGGTTGTTGGAAAAGTCATGATGCATTTTTGCAATGAAAAACATAGAAAAAATACATCATGATTTTTCTGACAACCCAATAACTGTTCTTAAATAAGTGGGGAAGGATATCACCTTAGAAAATGTTGAAAAAATCATATGCTCTTTCCCTATGTTCAATATTTAATGTTGTTGGACAATGACTCGCTACAACTTCCATGGTGGGGGAAATCTTTTCTCCTACCCTCTTAGGGTCTCTGGTTGACTCTGAAAATTAGACTGACAAAGACGGAGTAAATGGAGGAAAGCATATGATTATTTAATTTTACGTGACACGGGAGCCTTCACGAGGAAATGAAGACCCAAATAAATGGTTAAACTGAGTGGCTTTCCACTAGGTTTAATGAAGAGCGGAAAGTCATGGAAAGATCTGACAGGACAGAGTATGAGCCAAGCATAGTAAATTGGGGGAAACTCAGCAAGTCCTGCTCCTTCAGATTCCTCTGTGTGTCCATTTGTCTTCAGAGATAAGGATGCTCCTTTCCTCCAGGTATGCAAAGGAAACCTCTCACATGAGGGTTGTAATTTAATAAGTATAGAGTTTCAGTTTTGCAAGATGAAAAAGTTCTGTAGATCCACTGCACAACAATGTGACTATACTTAACACTACTAAACTGTACAATTAAAAATTGTTAAGGGCCGGCCGAGTGGCTCAGTTGGTTAAGATATGGCTCAAGAGTTTGAGCTCTGAGCAACAGCAATTCGAGTCCCAGCCCGAGCTGAGCAGCCGCTGAGCTGCCAACAGGTGGCAGGATGGCTCAGCTACATTAAAAAAACAAAACAAAACAAAACAAACAAACAAAAAATTGTTAAGATGACTTAAAAAAAAAAAAGATACTGATGTTCACGGGAGAAATTTACATTCTTCTCTTCTTTATCAAAAAGATTCCCTTTGGGGAAAGAGGCAGGAAACTGATCTATTAGTGAGGGGAAAGGAGGTATCTGTGGGAACACCCCAAGTTAAAATTTTCTATGTATTTTATGCTTTTTTTGTCATACAAAGAAAGTATTACATAGATTTGGTGTAGAAATACTAACAATTAGTCTCTAAAGTTAATACCATTTACAGTATAATTTCTATAGGAAAATGCATTGTGATTTCCAAACATCCAATTAATAAAACCTTCAAGAACATAATCATTAGGAATAGTCTTGTATGTCAAAGGAATGACAGGAAGCTTAAATCAAGTGTGCAACTGTTTAAATCACTCCTATAACTCCTATAACTTTGGAATAAAAGGTATATTACAATAAAAGTTACCAAAACACAGGAACATACCTTATTCCAGAGAGGCTATCAAAGGCATGAAGATCTAATACATTAGAGAGATCAACTCTAAAAGAAAGAAAACCAATGTAAAAGTGTGAAATTCTGTGAAATATATGCAATTAATCAAGAAAAATATTTCTAAGACTCTTTTGCCAAAAAAATGTAGATGTAAAGGTTTATCAGTATATCATAGTATTTTGGGAACACAAAAATGACAGGCAAGGCTTGTAAAATTTTTTATACTTTATACATAAAATTCAAAATAAGGGTGAATACTGTAAGATCAAGGGTACTTCGTTTTTGCTTCAATAAGCTATAATTTATTTTTCTTTTAATTTCAATTGTTTTTTCAAATTCAAAATTTATGAGATTTTCAAATACATTTTTGTAGCGAAAAAATCAGTTAAAGAGCTGAAGCTTTTCAAAGCAGCAGTTTATTACTCAAAAGATGAAATAAGGGAAGTGGAATAAATGGAAATAACATAAAAGTATAGGTACATTACCTCCCCGGCTTCCATGATACAACAGGTAATATTACAAGAATGTGAGGTGTCAAATAACCAATGTATTCTAAATATTCAGCCTAGGACCCTTATCTGTATCCAAAGAATGTGGTTTGATTTCATTGCTTTCAAACAGAAACTTCCTAGTTAATACTCTATCTGAATAAACATTATTTCTGTTAGAATTATTTAGTACTAATTAATTAAGCCTTATTAGGAAAGCAAGGATTCAAATCAGAAGAGAATATCATTATCACAATTAGTGTTAGGTGTGGCTTAAATACATAAATTTATAAAGACTAGTGATTGAGTTCCAATTTTTATATGAGCCTATAAAACAGTAGAAGACAGTGATTTCTCTATAAGCAAAACTATAATGGATATTTAAAGAAGACAACAGCAGTATAATTAAATTTCCAAACATTTATTAAATTTTCTCACAAGAAAAACAAAACCTTGTCAAATTGAAGATTTGTTTTAAACACATAAACATGAACGCTAAACCATCTCATTTAACTTAGGACTGACCAGCTGCGTCTGCTTTGCTCATCCTCAACTGTCTGCCATATATTCATACCTGTACCAACAACACTCCGTTAGATTACGAATGCTTATCCTGGCACAAGGCAGACCAACTCCCATCTTATTAAAAGAACACTCCAAAGTTCTATGTTAATAGACTGCAACAACATTTCAGATTCTGGACATTCTAGATGAGCAGAATTAGGAAAATGATCAAGCAAAGAAGTAAACGTTCCATAAAGAAATTTTTGAATATCAATTTACATAAGAGACCAAAGGCTTAACATTAAACAGGTTTTTTTTTTTTGCTTTCACAGCTGAGCAAATATGTATATTCACAAGTTACAAATGAATGAAGTTTTCCCCCAAGTTTATCTTTACCTTAGGAAATAGCTTCAAGTTTAAGAAAGTTTACACATGCCAATTGTGTGATATCAAAATTCAGGCCAATCGTATAAATACCATAAGTCAGTCTTGAAACACAAGCTTCTAAATAAACTACAGTGTCACTATGACTATGACAGTGTCCTTAAGTACACATGTCATAGATTTAGAGATAATTCTGCTTTATACCCAGATTCTTTTATTTCCAAAACAGACAGGATCAACAATAAATCTGTACAGGTTAAATTCTATAGAGAATAATAAAATAGCAAAGTCTTGGGCCAGCCATGTGGCGCGATGGTTAAGAACTGGCTTGGGACGCCAGAGGGCCCCGGATCGGATCCCACATATGAGAGCCAGTGACACTGCCCTCCACAGCTAAGATGCTGACCAACAGCTCAACCTGGAGCTGGACTGCCGGGAGTCGCTGGCGAAGGCGTAGGCTGCAGCCCCTGTGGCAGTGGGTTGCCATGGGCTACCGTGTGTAGCCAGCAGCCAGCGTGAGCGGCCAGCAGCCGCAGTGAGCGGCCATCCAGAAGCCGGCGACTGATCTGCCTCACCTGGGAAGAACACAATGATGGAGCCAACTTGGGCCAGTGAAGCAACGTCCTCCACAACTAGACTGAAGAACAAAAGGACAGCAGCTTGTCTGTTCCCCTTCCCCCAATTCCCCAGCTCTGTTCCCATCCCCCCAATTTCCCAATTAAAAAAAATAAATAAACAAATAAAATAGCAAAGTCTCTCACTGTGTTCACACCAGATTCTCAATGGAGAGAAAAACAGGAAAAAGTCTCAAGCTTCCAGATAAAAGTTACCACGGACTTTCTCCAAATCTATTACCACCATGAAAAATTACTTCACTCATCCAAGGCATGTGACTAGAAAACTAATTTCCACGGCATCAAATGTATTTAATTTCCTCTTTTGAAGATAAAAACATCGGATTTTTCCCAAAATATTTACGTAGAAAAAAATAAATAAAAATTAAAAGACTATTACTATCATGTAAAAACTGGATGAGAATGAAGCAAACATAAAGGGGGAGGAAAAAAAACTTCCAAAACTCATCTTTTCTCCTAATTTCTTGAACTATCTATACCAGAAGTACCTACTCTTTTCCCAATAAAGCATGTTCAATTTTCCCTACATCTAAAGAGTGCTTTAAGTATCCTAAGACCAGGAACAGGAGAATGGCCAAGAAGCAGGCTCTGGCGGTCCAAGGTGGAAAGGGACTCAGGGGCTGCTCCAGGGTTACCATCTACAGTCATCTTTTCAAACTTCGTGAGTCACAAACAATCCCAGATCTACAAACTGTCGATACCATCTAAAATCTAAGTCCTGTACTCTTGAACTGAATTTCCAAATGTATTCCCCATTGGCACCTCAAACTCAATGTTTATAAAATGGAACTAATCACCGTAACCAAACCCACTGCTATCACCATCCTACCTGAAAATTGCTCCTCCCTTCCTGTATTTCCCAACTTGGGAGAACTATACCATATTCAATCCATCTCCTAAGAGTCATACTGTTTATAAAATTCTTCACTAACTCCTTGCTGCCTACAGGAAAAGATCCAAACTATGAATCATGGCATTCAAGACCTTTTGTCATAAGTTCTCCATCTCTTCAGTCATACCATTTTCTCTCTGCAACATAATACCATATGTTCTAGCCATTCTACAATATTCGCAGGTCCCTGGAAAACTAAATCTCCCTTATGCCTAGAAAGCCATAGCTACTCTTGTCCATCTGGAAAACTCCTATTCATTCTTCAAGACTAAGGTCAATGATCACCTTCTCAGTCAAAATTTTCTGACTCTTCATCAAGAAGAGTTGAGTAGTTGTTCTTCTATCTTCCTGTTCTTACAGAACCCGGTGTACTTAATATCCCTGTTATGTTAATAACATTTGCTACATCGTTTTTTGCTTGTTTGCTTCTGTCTTCCCCAAATGCATGGATCTCCTTAAAGGCCAAGTTTTTGCCTTATCCATTGTTTAAATCCTCAACATGCCATGAAATGCTTACCAACCAATGAAATGCTCAATTAGTTTGTTGAATTAACTTATTATTGACGAGTTGGATTTCAGTTTTCCTCTGTTCAGTCCACTTAAATCTCTAAGATTTAAAAAAAATCTGAAAAAGATAAAAATGGCATTTCCTCTAATCTCCCACGTCTACTTCTGAAGTCTATGTGGTCCATTAGAACTTCCATGTGCCTCAAAATCAACTTACGACTTAGCAATTAAGACAATGCTACACACCATTCTCATTCTTTAACTTAAATACTCAAGGTTAGCCTTGCCTTTTCCACACATGCTTACAGCATTTTTTCTATTATAAGTCTTACTATTGTGTTTGTCAACCACAAAATGTTTAAGGGATTAAAATTAAACAACAAAAAAACCCCACAATAAAACTAAACTTCCATAGAATTGATTTCAACGATTTTGTTAAGAACCAAACCTCTAGGGCCGGCCAAGTGGCGCATTGGTTAAGAGTTGGCTTGGGACGTCAGCTCTGAGCAGCAGGACCCGGGCTTGGATCCCACATGAGGGCCAGTGATGCTGCGCCCTCTACAGCTAAGATGGTGAACAACAGCTTTAACTGGAGCTGGGCTACCGTGAGTCGCCGGCGATGGAGTAGGCTGCAGTGGGGCTGGCTGGCAGCTGGCGTCAGCCTTTATGAGCTGCCATGAGCCGCTGTGAGCGGCTATCCAATGGCCCGTGAGCAACTGCCTCACCCGGGAAGAGCGCAATGATAATACCAACATGGGCCAGTGAAGCGATGTCCTCCACAACTAGACTGAAGAACAAAAGGATAGCAACTTGTCTGCTCCCCTTCCCAGATTCCCCAATAAAATCTTTCAAAAGTAAAAAAGAACCAAACCTCTAGTTTCTAAACCATGAAGCTCAAGTTGCTATGCCTCAAAAAATTTTGGTAAATATAGATTCATAACCTAATACTAAGAATTCTAACATCAACATCTGATCTTCACTGAAAAGGGTCCTAATCCAACTTCTGTCCTCAAAACAAAGAAGTACTATTTCAGAAAGTCCTTAGATCCTTAGATACACTGGTAAATACCAGACACTAAAAAACTGAAGAAAAAATGAGATTTTATTCACTTGTCCATTTATCCATTTGAAGTAACAAAATTTAATCACTGCATTTTACAGTTCTGTAGTGTGATAGAGCAAATGTTAAAAATATCGTATAAACATCAATCGTTACATAATAAATTATTCAAGATGAAATCTTTATGCAGGACATAAAGGTCCAAAATGAAAACCAACAAAAAGAAAAAAATAAGCAAATAAATCCAGGGGCCTTTAAAAAATTGATTTAAGGTGTTAGTAAATGTTAACCAAATAAATGCTATTACAATAGAGCCACAGCTATTTGTGAATATGATTTTGAAAAGTTGATTTAAGCATTACATGGGGGTCTATAATTTTGTAAGGAGAAATTTTAAGAAAAGAAGAAATGGTAAAATACAGGAGGAAGTCACACTGAGAAATGGCTCAGGGTATGAGTTAGTGTATCAGATTTTCTACCCTGGAATTTGAAATGCAGGGAGCATGTTTGGTGTATGCTTGCAGGGGACTTACTCTAAGGCGTTCTTCTGCCACTCTGCCAGCAGAGGAGTGGCTTCTGAGAATGCATACCAAATGAATGCCCCAGCTGTTGACATGCATGTAAGCAGCTGCTGTTGTTACTGCCTAACACTTAGGATAGTCTATCAGCACCTCTGATCTCTGCCACAGCAGACAAGCCACTCAGCTAAGGCCTCTGCTGCATTTCCAAGGAGAGAATCTCTGAATTAAGGACTGGGCGGCACTAGACTGCAAGCTGTGAGTCTCAGAGCTGCTGGCTGCATGTTGCTAGGTCTATCAGCTGCTGGGCCCTTCTTGCTAATAAAGGAGCTTAACAGAATATCCCTGTATAAAAAATGTCCTGAAATCATGACAGCATTCAATGGAAAACAGAGTTCTATCTACAGAAATCCATTTTACAGAGGTTTTAAGAACACATCTACTTTATAAAGTAATGCACATCTGTATAAACACAACGAGAAAAGAAGCTACAGGAAATGGAAATGAAAGTTTTAAAAAAAGAAGATATCAGGAACTTAAAGGTAAAGGTTCCATGTATTTTTACATGACAGATTATTTTTGCAACTATGAAACACAAAGAAGGTTTTAAAAATATTAAAAAGCCATTTAAATTAAGATAAGATTCCTAATAATACACTTTTTCAGATTTCTATACCAGTTACTTTCTTGAGTGGCTGAAAGTCCTACATCTTTTTTTAATTAAGCAAAAGCGGTTACACAGTGTTATCATGGCTCTGTAGTCTCAGTTACACAAGGGATAGCAAAAATATTAAATAAATATGCCAAACTAATTTACAAAGAGCATTCAAAACAAGACTTTTTGGGTCCCATTTTGAAAGCACACATACATATCTTTCTTACATTAGAATCAAGCATACTATTTATCAATTACTGAATACTTATTATTAACTAAATAAAATTATTTATTGTTAATATCAGTAGTAGCTTTTTAAAAGTACCTTGATCTTTGTGTTTCTAAAATTCTCCCCAGTCCATTTATTGATCTGAAATAAATTTTAAAATGAGGGAAAGTAAAAAAGCAAATGTCAACTTTTTTTAAAAAGCACACAGGAACATTATTTCTAAAGTAGGAAGTAAGCATATACAAGTATATCTGGAGCTAGAAAAAAGTAAAAAATAGAAAAACAAAACTTACATATTTTATAGTTTAATTGTCCTTTTCCTTCTGATCATCAATCAGGTATATTCCATTAGGTATTAAAACATGACATGCAAAAAAAGTCTACTGCAGGACTGACAGGCTAGGGGCTACTTTGTAATTTATAAAAAGACCCTTCACTTTAGAAAATACGATTCACAGTCAGTAGTCCTAATGTTCTTAAAATGAGTAGATAAATAAGAAATTTTAGTGATACCCAGTATTTCCCAAGCACACACTGTGGAAAGGGCAATACACACCTAGACATAAAACCCCAGTTATGAGTGGCTCTGACCCAGCCTGTCCTCAGCATGCACAGTAACACTGAGCCACACACCCAGGCTCTTTTATAGAATAACCTCTTCAGCTTCCCTAATTAGGGTCTCTGCCCACTGTGCTGGTCCTCCCTTTGTACTGCACCAAAAAGACTTGTTAAGTCCTTTTCAACATTCTGTACACCTGATCTATTTATCATGATATCATCAATTCCATTGCCTTTAGGGTCACTGGCCAATGATACTTGCTATTTATTCTCATGGGTACGGCTTCCTGCATACTTTCTGAGGCAAGTCTATTTCCCAAATTTCTTAATCTTCTCTTTTTAATATACACTATAACCTGACGGCTCTTTCCTCTCAAACATGTTTACCTTCTTCCAACGCCCCAAATCTAATTCCGAGTAGTTGCAAGTCTGATGTACAATGGAAGGTAAAAAGCGAAAAGGGTCTGTAATTTATTTGTGTGCTTTGTCCAAACTCTCTTCTATTACTAGTACTGCTGTACAGTTCAGGCCGGCAACAAGCTGGCTAATAGCCTTGCTGTGCTGGAGATCAAGCCTAGAGAGTCAATATGGAAATAGAAAAGCCCAGTAGTAATAATCCCGGATGCTTTTGTGTCAAAAATGTTTGCTACACAGATTGTGTTCTTTTTTTCGAGTAATCACAGTGGTGCATAGGATTTTGAAAAGAGAAACAAAATTTAGGAGACCAGTCTCAAAAGGGGTAAAAGAAGGAATCTTCATTCACTGTTTTCATCTTTCTAGACTTTTCAAAATTATCAATGATTTCTTTCATTTTTTTTGTTCGCTGTAACTTGAAATTACTATGTAAACTAAGAAAAAAAATCTACACTCTAATAATGATAATAGCTAATGACTCACTACGCATCAGGCACTGTGCAGTTTGCCAACGCTGTCTCACGTAATACTCAAATCAAACATAGGAAGAACGTATTATTCCTGTTTTACAAATGAGACTTAAAAGGAATATAGTGAGAAACAGACCAAGGGTTAGAACTCAAGCAGAATCCAAAGTCCATGACCTTAAACACTATGTAACACTACTGCCCTCCACATGGAGACATCATTAGTCTTTTGTAGTAAAGTCTGAGGGAATATTACTATTAAAATAAGACCAAATATGCAGAAAAATATGAATTTCTTTCTTCTGCAATCATCATTGCAGAAGAATCTCCTAATGAGCCTTACATTTACTGATTCAATTTTTTAACATACACTATATGAATTGGCACTGGCAGATTCAAAACCTGATGTCAGCAGATTGCACCCATTAACGATGACTAATGGGGGGGTGACCAGTTAGCTCAGGTGGTTACAGCATGGTGCTGATAACACCAAGGTTGCCGGTTCGATCCCCACATGGGCCACTGTGAGCTGTGCCCTCCTTAAAAAAGTTAACTATGCCATTGTAGTATGAAAGCAATGTGTTACCCATAACCGCGGCTGTTCCCCAATAAAATTAAAACACAAAAAAAAGATGACTAATAATAAAAGCTATTCAATGTCTCTTTGTAGGTGGTATTTATTAGCTTAGGTCTTACAAAATAATTCGAAGTCCTTGAACTCTAACCTCATTTGAAAAGTTCAAGTGACCATGGATCATTTAACAAAAATGAGTATCATATATATTGTCCTATGTTGATTAGCCTTGGCCATGGACACTGAAGACATTAAATCGAGCTGGAAAATAGGCACGGTGAGTTGACAGTTAAGGAAGGCAAAGTCAATGAGGGTTTAGGTAAAGGTGAGACCACGTGAGTCAGGAAAGACTCAGAGAGAGGGAGAAGAAGGGGATGGGGTGGGCTGTAGAGAATAGATAAAATTGCTAAAAAATAAAGAAATAAAAACAGAAGATGAAGGAATTCAAAGACTGGCAGAATGAGAGTGAGAGCGCATTATGAGTAATAAAAGGATTTGGCAAGAAACTTCCATGAGAAAGTCGTAAATAATCATCCTGAGTAACGTTAAAGAACTTCATTAAGGAAAATGTCAAAGAGAAGACAGGAAAAGAAGAATGGATTCTGAAGACCCTGAATATCAGTCTATGAACTTTGAACTCTATTTGGTAAGCAATGGGGAATAAATTCATAATTACTACGTACATGACAATCAGTTAGACAACAATATACATATATGACTCTCTAATGGTACTTAAAGCAGGTCAACACTGACTCTTAAGTTCCCACATGGTAATAGTCATGGTAAAAATATTCTGTATAGCACACTTTGAATTTGTAGGTACTTAACACACTTATAATTTTGTACCTAATAGTTGTTCTTAATTTGTTTAAATCCTCTTCTGAAACCAAGTCTGTTTTATTGACGATGACGATATCTGCCAAAGCAACTTGCCTAAATTAGCAAACAAAGAACAGATGTCAAAAGAGAAATGTTAAGAAATTAAAAATAAATAGAAACACCTCCTATACAGATCAACCAGTATTATATAGTACTCTATATGGTAATTCAATTTACTCCTAACCTACTTACCATTCTTCAAATAGTAAGGATAAACTGTATTCATCACTATATAAATGTGATTCATTAAAAAATATTTACTGAGTGCTTTTACTTGCTACTTTAGAACTACAAAGACAATCCTCAAAATGTTTACAATCAAAGATGATTTACAATTAGGATGATTATAAACTCATGATTTTCTTTGAAAAGAAATGCATAAAATTCAGATATTCAATGTGGTAAAGACAAAAATAGTCTACTTACTAAAATATTCCATGTAATAGTTACCATAATTTTCAAAAAAATACAGAGAACAAGTTTATTTAATATTAACACTACATTAAACAGTTTTTTAAAAAAACTACACTTCAGATGATTTATCAAGATCTTTAACAAATATCTTCATCATTGAGAATATATTTTCTCTGTAAAACAGATACACATAAATTCAAATTAAAGAATCCCATTAACAGAAAGCTGAATAACAAAATAGCTTACTATGAATAAAAGTTCTATTTTCTAATAACAGTAGTAATAAAGCTGAGGATTCTTTAAATTTTCCTGAATTCTTCAGGAAATGTTAATTACCTAGACTATTTGTTCCTAATCCTAGTTTTATGTTACCTGAAGATATAGCTGATTATTTCAAATAACCTAATCAAATTATGAAAAATAAATTAACTTTAATTCATTAAAAAAGCAGGTTTCAATAGTATGCATATCACAATCCCAGTTTTAAGTAAACTTTACATGAACAAAGACTGAATGTGCACATCTCAAAATATAAACAGCTGCAATCTTTAAATTGGGGGCCTTCTATGTTTAACTTTATTTCGGCTTTTATAACATTTTGCTATTTAAATGGCTTATTTACATTTTCTATAAAAAGTTACAAAAAACATTTAAGTTCAATCTAATTTGAATCATAAGTATACACCAAGTGCAGTGTTTAGGCAAGATTACAAAACAACAAAGTACCATAGTCCAAAATGATAAGGAATCAATCGCGTCTCTATTATTTATGTCTGCATCATCTGCAGCAAATCTCAGGGGCCCTCCCTCTTAAACCCAGAAGCATATTCAGTGACTGTGCTCTACCCCAAAACCTTTTTCCCATTAGCAAGAACATGCTTAGGGTAGGCAAACTAATTTAAATATTTAAAGCCTAAAGACATACCAATCAGGAGCATAAAGTTATTTAAACAAAAAAATGTTCTCCATGCCAAATTAAAACTATATCCACATTTGTTCCTCTGTTGCTCTGAATAACAGTGAACATTTGAATCAAATGAATTACTGTTAAAGAAGTGAGCCAACTCTTTTTTTACAATCATCTTCAATCCCAAAGACATTATATGAGAACAAGAAAATATTTTAACATATTAACATTTCCCATGCTCCTCGCAAAGAACTCCTGTGCCCAGCAGTCATGTGATAATAAAAGTTATAAATAAAATTTTAGTTATCAGACTACTATAAATAGCAATAATTAAACTACACAAAAAAAGATAATACATTTTCTTTGGCTACATTTTCACATTTCTGTTTTCTTTGGTTTTCATATTAATAATTTTCTCTTTCCAATTAGCTAGTAATCAACATGTACTTTAAATATGAGTACCTAGAAGCTTCGTTGATGAGGCCATCAGGTTTTTCTTCTGCTAAATGCTAAACAAAAAAACAAAGTTTGAAAAAAGTTACTCTGGTGAACACAAAATCTAATGTTAACACAAAGGATTTTACTTGAGAGACTCTTTCTTGCCTCTAATAAGGACTTCAACAGGTTCTATTACTGAATACACAAATTCAGAATGAATTTTTCTATCTGAAAGTATTTTCTTCCCCATTTGTAATTTTTTTATTTCCTATAGTGAACCTGTAGGGTATTGGGGGAGGGTGTGAGGGCTTAAATTTTATACCCCTGATCTCTTTTCTTAAAAGGAAAACCCTCCATTTTAAATAAAGTCATAAAATCATAGAACATAATAGTTCAGATTTTAGGTATTTTCCTTTTTACAAAAACAGTTCTTATTCTAAATATTCATTTTCACTTATTAAGAAACAGATAACCCCTGAACTTGTACTTTTTAAAAATCTAATATACTTCCTTCCATTCCTCCCTCCACGCCCTACTCCTCACCCAGACTACTACATGATATGAACTCAGTACTGGGCCCTTCATAGTCCCTAGAAGCAAATATGCTGAGAGAAGGACACAGTCCTAATTCTAGTCTAAAAGCGGTTTATCACTTAGAAGCCCACACTTGAGAGATCTGGCCTCTCCATGCAACTGTTTATTTTGTTGACCTCCCCCGAGTCAAGCTAGCTCCGAAAAAATATTTTGACATTGACTTAGAGGCCCAGGAGGCAGTTCTCATCTCTCTAGAAGCAGTTACTATTTTTCCATAATCCTATTAATACTATCCCTAAAGTCTTCAATGCCATAAGGTTCCTCTCTGAAAAATGTTTCACCTTCACTTCCTTAACCCTCAGTTGATGTTTCCTGTCACAATAAAAAGCTGCCTTACTGAGGTTAGAGGTAATCAGATTATATTAATACTCTTTGTATTTGAATCCAGCTTCACAAATCACTAAGTCCTCTTACACATATTATCTCATCTGGCCTTCTTAACAATGATGGGAAATGGCTACTCCCCTCATTTTATAAAAGCAGAAACTAAATCTAACACCTTCTCCTCACAGGATACCTCATTATATGTTTATTTTTCAAAAATTGAAAATGTGCTCAATAGAAGTTAAATGAACATAATTTAAAATTTTTTGTGAAAGCTTTCTATGTCTTATAAAATCAGTCTTGTATAGTTTTACACAAATATTAATAATCACATAAGAGTATGTATATAAAGATTACCTAAAAATTACATTCAAAATTATTTCATCAAACCAGTTTCACAATTCATGGGGAGGTAGATCATTAAGGTATTTGGATAATTTGAAACCTAAGAGCAAGTTGGTAATAATTTTATTTAATAGAATTGGTTAAGTCTATAAAGAAAACTTTTTTCCTTTAAAAGTTTGCCAAATTCTATTTGGGGGGGAAACAAGACTAAAAACTATAGTAATAATGTACTGATTTCCACTTTAGGTACAATCCTGTAAATTCAACTGCAGACTCACTCTGAAATTATGGACGTCACAGAATTTGAAGAATATTGTATCAAAAATCATTCCTTGCTAAAAGACTAAGTTTATTACTTTTGCTAATTATTCTTGACCTGAGGTTATAACAAATCCTATTATAACGTCCTCTAGAGAATAAGGCTGTTATTGTCCTATTAGAATAATCCTCACTCCCAGGCTCAACAAATATTTGTTAAATGAATTCTAATTAACACTCCCTATTTGTTGACATAGATACATGGATATTGTTACTTGAAAAATGCTACATAACATGCAGCAACAAATCCCTTTCTATTCAGCAGTATGAATTTGGGGCTACTATTTGGCTGTGAGTTGGTGGGGTATAAAAAAATAGCAAGAAAATTAGAGATCTGTTTTGAATTTCTATACCTAAATGAAACTAATAGTAGTTTCAAAGTAACTCATGATTTTAATGCATTTACTTCTCCAGGTTAGAAATCTTCACCCAAAGTTAAATGGGATGGATAACAATTTAACCATCTCCAGGCAGTCAAGAATTATCACATATAAAAATATGTTAAAACTCCCCAAAATAAAAACCTGCCAACCTGTACAACTCTATTATGAATATGATGTATAATAATCATATATAATTATAGAAGAGATAAATGCCCTGTCCTACACATATATGAAGGCTATACAAACATAAAGAAATAATAAATAACAAATGCACATTAACATTTATTTTCTCTGGATATCAGTCCAACATTTGCCTATGCTACTTCTTTCCTCCCCAAGTCAAACTTTGCAAAAAGACTAACCAATGTCTGCTATTCAAAAGGACATTCTCTAATAATACATTACACACCATTAAATCAGATGACTTCCATTAATAAATTTTAAAAAATTGAAAATTTGACATTGCATTCTACCTATACAGTCAAGGAAGAAAAATTTTTTGGAAAATTTAAAAATATATATATTTAAATTTTGCAAAAATTTGTATCTATAGCTCCATCCATCCATTCCAAAAGGATTCCTCATCTCTGCTTAAGACTGTGGCTTTTGCTTATATATCAAACCAGACAAAAATAATTTTGGTCCTAATTAATTCAACATAGCCAAAAAGTTAAGATTCAACCATCTACCATAGTATACCATAAGACAGGAACCCTTTTAAATAACACCATTGTAGATACAACTTCAATAAGAGCTATAGGGTGCCCTTTTCTGCAGAAATAGAAACAAGCTGGGCAGAGAGAGAGGGAGAGAGGAAGGGAGAGGAGAGAGAGAGAGGGAGGGAGAAAGGGAGGGAGGGAGGGAGGGAGGAAAGGAAGGAAGGAAAGAAGGAAGGAAGGAAGGAAGGAAGGAAGGAAGGAAGGAAGGAAGGCAGGCAGGCAACAACAACAAAAAAACACTGTTGACCAAAGTGGAAATAAATCTAGTGTCAAAGATGTCAGATGACATTAAGAAAAAATAAAAAAAGCAGCAGCAGGTATTGCTTTCCAATGGATTGGTTATAAATCTAACACTATTTTGGCTTTAAAAATAAGATTATTGCATAATGTCAGTCTATTTATTTTTCTGGTCTTTTCCAAGCTAAACTGTTTTCTGACTGAATTGTTTCAAAAGCTTGTGCCATATAAGAGAATAACCAAAAAAGAAACCTCTCCCTTGACCTTTTCTCTGTAACTTCATTCATTGATTCTATTGCATTAACTGCTGTCACATTTGTAGAACCGAGAAGAACAATGTCAGTAGCTTGGGTGTCAAGTCATGAGAACAGAGAGCTGTCATTTGAAGTTGTCCAATTCTTTGCCCATGATTAAAAAATGAATATTTCAGATCAATGGGTGACAATCCCATTAGAGTGATAGCCCATGATATCAATTACCACTTCAGTTTCAATTTGGCTGGCTGGCCACAGGGTACCATTTCTCAGCTTTACTTGTGATGGGCTGGCTCTGTGAAGCATGACACTCTTAAATTGATGCCCATTATCCAAGTGTCATTACTTGTACTGCCTCAGAATTCTCTGAATCACAAGCAGCTACTGAGGTCAAGCTTTGCAACCAGAGGAATTGGACAAGTTGGCAAATTCTTTATATAAAGGAAAAGTTATTTATCTGGCATCTGACTTAGAAAATCTAAAGTTTCCATTATCTTGACAGTATGTCAGTTTTGTGTAGGTATATTGATTTAATAATTTAAGAGGTTTTATCAAGGTGGCAGGGGGTTAAACGTTTACTGTGTTTGCATTATTCAGAATGTTGCTTTGTTTTTTTGGCCTCTATCACACTGATAATAGATTCTATTTAACTCTTCTCCATACATATAAAATATACATATAAAATTATTCCTATGATAAATACATAGAGTTTGACTTTGGGTATGGCATTTTCAGCCTATCAAAAAAACAAACAAACAAACAAACAAATAAAATATCCTAACTGCTACCTACCTCATTGATATCCCAAATGTGGTAATAAATTTATATATGAGATGAATTCAAATATGCCTGTAATAAATATTCAAAATGAAAAATCTGATGTTTTTTCTTCCTCCATAAACATTTTGCTAGAAATGTTATGGTTTCAGAACAGTTGGAATTTTTGGAGTAAAACTGTAATATTTGGGTTCATTCTTTGATTCTTAAGACTACTAATATAGGTATTTGGACTTGAAAATCTAAAAAGGAATTATGTCCCGAACTTCTCAAATTAGGGTACTCTATCCCTAAGAAAACTGAAGGGCCAGAGGAAAGAGTATTGGTAACCACTTGACAAGCCTGCTATCTAGTCCTAGAGCATTTTTTAATTAAAGATTTGGAAGAAAACCAAACTTTTTCAAATTAACAAATTTAGATATATTGTGGGGGTAGAATATAAAACAGACATGAATTTTTAAGCATTAAATTTAAAACTTCTGAAAAATAGTTACTTTGGGCACGTCCATATCCCCAGATTGGAACTGGGAAATGGAAGATAAGTTCATTCTCTTCTGCATTTAGTAATATTTCACTTGGAAAGTTGAGAAACACTATTTATGCAATAACATGCTTTTTAAAATCTTACTAAGTGCATTTTATAAATTGAAGCCCATTTAAATGCATTTGGGGATCTTGGTATTTAAAAACCATTCACAGCTAGATGCCTTTTAATGAAGAGTTTCTCCTCACTAAACCTATGTATACATCGAATTTCTTCAAAATAAAGTAAAGCAATTTTTTTAAAAAGCTCAGTTACCTCCAACATGTCTGATAACAGTTTAACAAAAAAAATAAGCTCTCATATGCTTTATCAAGATCAATTTCCTCTATTAAACAGAAAAACTTAATCAACAATGGGGTTGAATCCTGAGGCATTAAACATACCCAAACTTTATCCTGAAATACCCTTATTACAAAATATTATACTTCCAACTTTTCTACATTAAGCCAGAGTAACAGAAAATAAAAAAAATTTTAAAAACCCCACAATTTAAAAATACAAATTTCATCTGAACAAGTTATTTTTTTAAGTTTTTGATTAGAAAAATTTCAAACAGACACAAATGTAGAGAAAATAATATAATCAATTCCCATATACCCAGCTCTTAACAAATAATTAGCAACTTATAGCAATCTTTCAACTTACTTTTAATCCATATTTTGAATCCACAATAGTTATGATACCTACAAAGGAATAAATCTTTTAATCAACTTTATACTTGAGAATGAAAATTAAAACTAATCTATTTCAGTTCATAAACGTTAATAAAGTATTGCTTTTTCTCTTGCCAAGGTGCAATTTAATTCAATTCCAGCAATAAACAGATGCATTTTCAAATATGTACTGAGTGCCTAGTACATTTTAAGACACTAAAAAGGATATAAAATAAAATTTTTAAATTAAATAAACAAATAAGAAAATAAGATTTCTCTAACCTTTAAAAAGCTTACAAACCAAAATATTATGAGATAAATTTAAATTTCATAATATAAAGTGGAATGAGATAAATTATATAAGACAGGTTATTTGTAATTTATTTTCACATAATCTAAATTGAGACTTTTATTAACATTTAAATTATTGCTTAACAAATCTATCTCAGGATATCTTATTCCTAATATCTCTCACCAAATCTAACTCACACAAATGTTTTATACAACATGTAACTAAATTTCCAAATGATCAATTAGTTTGACAATCTCGGAATTTATATGCTAAACAATTTTTTCAAAGGATTAACAGCAGAATGAGTTTGATGATGCCTAAGAATTCAACCAGCTACATGCCACATATACATATTAGGGCCAGCCTCAGTGATACTTCAATTATTTCAACCTTTAGCATATGAAAGACTTGATTTTAAAAAATGTGAAGGACTCAGGGAATGGAGTGGGGAATAGAGTCTGGGAAAGACTGATGACACACCACAGTACATAAATCAAGCAAAAGAATAGGAAATCTACATAGTATTTAAAATGAAAACCTTAGTGAAAGCACTAAGTTCAGAATTGGATTAAGGTTTGACATCTAGTTCTACCATTATCTGGGGCTTTATAATCTATATGAACAAAGACTTACTTCATCATCAAACTAAACAAGTTTAAAAAGAGTCACACCAATGCAAGGAATTAAAACTACAATATGAATGAACGAAAATGATTTTAGTCATAACAATAACATTTTACTTGAAAACAAAATTCTATATTTAACTTACCATCAAGATAAATATCAACCCCTAATTCAGCATCAACCCAAAACATAGAAGCTACAGCACCTGAAAATATATAATATGTAATATTCATCAAATAAAAAATATTTCTTCAAACTGAGAAACAAGATTTTATCCATTTTTTAATTTGCCCCAAAAGAATTAGCAGGCAAACACATATACAAATTAAATATGAGTTTCCAACCTTCTCATGAGAATTACAGTGATAGAATTTATACTTATACCCATTTATACCCATTTCTTCCCCTCCCTTTATCTTTAAAAAAAAAAACAACTCGTATCAAATATAAAGCTAACTCCAAGTTTTTAACAATGCCATAATAATTTACCAACAGATATTGTCAAATAACTTGGTCAGTATGACTGTGTGCACATAGGACTCATTTTTATTTTCTCTTTCCTGAATAATCATATAGTTCACAAATCGTGAATTATGGCTCTAAAAGAAAGCAAGACAATATGAAAATCACTTGTCCAAAAACTAAAAAAAAAAAAAATTTACTTTAAGTTTTAAGATTTATAGAAGAAAAAGAACAAAAAGTAAAATTATACACTCTATGGCATTACTAATAAATCCCTACACTATTTATTTAATACTGATATAAAACCTGGGTCTGAGGAAAAATAATTTCTAAATAACAAATTAAAACTTGTTTTTGACAGAAACTGGTAAAGTATCAAACCACACACGCTGATTAGTATGCCACAACACAAGAAAACTGACAGCAAAGAAAGTATTTGATTTTTCAAAGCTTCACAAGTCCAGTTAGTGACAGGGCTGTCTAAAGGAATGAGTATTGGGGAAAAACAAGGATAACTGAACTCATTCCAATGTCTAAAACTGTCCACCTACCCTGACAAGATGTGGACCCCCAAGCATCACTCTGTGTCAACAATGAAATACCTGTCAGCTGTTTACAGTGATTACTCATGCAAGATATAGCAAGGGCCACAAGATCTAATGGTTTCCTGATACCTATTGATTTTTTCCCAAAAACTTAATAGTTTTCCAATTTGACTGAAATAGGATTTGTGAATAACAGGGGCTGAATCAATGCCTGTCCTTTTCACGGAAATTACTTTACCATGACAATTATTTAGCTTAGAGAGTGTCAGTCTCCTAAACGGAAAACAACAGAATTGCCAATAAGAATTTTCTTCACTTACTTGGCTAACAGCATGATTTTAATTAATGAGGGAGAAAAAAGTAAATCAACTGTGAGTATCACTACTCCAAATAATAAATCACTAAAAAGTATTAATATTTTTCACTCAAAATTCCTAACATTGTACATAAATCATTTTATTTTCTTTAATTCATTGACTTCTATTCAGGTAGCTTATAGGTCCTCAACAGTTAATATTTGCCTAATATTAAGTTGAACTGTAAGAGTGTATTAGAGCTTTTATTCTAAATCTGATGTGTATCTTTGGTATAATACTTACCAGGCCACACAAAGAAGAATTATTTAAAATTTGGATGCAGGTGTTTAGCAGGAGAAGCAGAGTTAATCAGCGGTTCTTGACCAAGGGTGATTTTTTTTTCCCCCTGGGGAATATTTGGCAATATCTGGAGATATTTTTTTGGTTATCTCAACTAGGGGAATGCTAATGACATGTAGTGGGGAGAAGCTAGGGATGCTGTTAAACATCCTACAATGCACAAGACATCCTCCTACAACAAAGAATTATCCAACCCAAAATGTCATTTGTGCTAAGGTTTAGAAATCCTGAATTAGAGTATAGAATCTCATTTTTCAAAACCATATTCATAGAACAAAAAATAAAAATAAGCAAGATAAAATTTAAAAAGCCAATTTTTTTTTCATTTTTTATTTTTTTGGTTCCTCCCCCTTTTTTTTAGTTTCAGGTGTACAAAGCAATGTAATACAATAGCTAGACATTTATACCTCTCATAATAACCACCCCCAATCTACTATCCCTCTGACATCTTAGATAGCTGTTACAATACCACTGACTATCTTCCCGATGTTATGTTCCATATCCTGTGACTACATACATTAATTATAGTTGAGTTTCAATGTTATTCTACTTCAGCGTCAGATGTATAGCATATTGGTCAGGCATCTACACAGTCTATGAAGTGATCCCCTTGATAAGTCCAGTGCCCATTTGGCACCCTACATAATCTTTACAACATTATTGATTATATTCCCCATACTACATTTCATATCCCCATGACTATATTACGACTACTAATTTGCTCTTTCTAATCCCTTCACCTTTTCCCCCATCCCACACCCCTCCCATCTAGCAACCATCAGTTTGTTCTCTGTATCTCTGAGTCTATTTCTGTTTAGTTTGTTCTGTTTATTTTGTTCTTTAGATTCCACATATAAGTGAGATCATATAATATTAGTCTTCCTCGGTCTGACTTGTTTCACTTAGCATAGTATTCTCTAGGTCTATCTATGTTTTTGCAAATGTTAAGATTTCATTATTTTTTACGGCCGAGTAATACTCCATTGTATAAACGTACCACAGTTTCTTTATCTAATCATCAATCTATGGGCATTTTGGTTGCTTCCATATCTTGGCTATTATGAATAGCATAAAAAAACCCAAATTTTATCAGCAGCAACCAAATATACAACCTCCTGCCATAAAGTGTGAAGATAGTCAAAATAAGAAACACAAGTTCTATGTGACTTATGATAGCTCTTAATTCTATCCTCATCCCCAATAAGAGGTTTACACAATCCTAACACTATCAGAAATGGCTTTCAAAATGACAAGCAGAACTGAGGGAGGAATAAGAAATACTAAAAAAATCAACAAGAAAACTTCAAGGGTAAAAGTTTCTAACCATCTCTATATTTGCAGGAGAGGGAGTCACTTTCTAGGGCTCAGAACAAAATGTAGTGAGTGTGATCTAAAGCTCAAGATGTCCTCTCACAAGGTATGGGATATATATTCATGAGCAGTTGGAACAAACCCAGGAGGAAGGAGCCCTTGCTATTTTAAGAGAGCAGAGCCTAAGAGGCACATTGCCCATTGGCCACTCTCAGTCATCTCTTCTCCCTCCTTGCTCCCAGCAATGCTCAGTTTTCAAACTGGGGCTCAGAAGAAAAATGAGTTTAGGTAAGATAGGTAGGGTAGGTATTAAAAAAAATTCGGCAATACCACACCTAGGTTGGCAGAAATTCTCTGAGCCTCCTACATCAAGCACAAACATGCTGAAAAACCGTGCACATGTATTACAGCTGAGAAGAAACAAAAAAGAAGGTAAAAGGCAGGAAGGAAAAAAAAATTGAAGAAATGAATAGGGCTCAAAAATTGCAAAGAACCCATTCTAAAAAAAAAAATTCAAATCAAAGAAATTTTCAAGGGCCTCTTCATAATAAACAACTTAAAAACAACACAATCTTAATTAAAACTAATCTCTAAAGCAAGATTGAGAAGAATAATATGAAAAGGTAATTTGTAGTGGTAAAGAAATAAATTTAGGGCCAATATACCATTACTTAACCAATTAGTTCACTTAAAACATCAAGGAAGAGAACAGGTGTTGGTGGAAACAGAATTGCTGATAAAAAGGAAGGTTTGAAATAATTCCAGTAAATGAAGAGGCAAATGACAAATCAATTAGAAGATAACAGATACAGAGAACAAAAGAAAATGCGATAGAAAATTGGTGTCATAAAGTAGAGGACCCAATAATTTGACAGAAAAACTCTTCATGGTAATAAATAAAGAGATGTCCCTAAATGAAGAACTAAAACTGCAGATTAAAGGGTATATTGTAATCCAGGAAAACATGATTATGAATGACATCTAGATGTGTCTTGGTTATATTACTTAACTTCAAAAATAAAGAAAAAAATTCAGGCATTTTAGATGAAAAAGCAAGTCACTTTCAAAGAGGTAGAAAAAAAAATCAGTTTTCTACAGTAACATTTATTGCCCCAATATAATAAAACAATGACCACAAAGTTCAAATGAAAGTGTTCCCTAAAGTTATTACCTCCAGTCAAGTTGTTTTTCAAGAATGAAAACAACAGGCAGGCATTCTCGAACATCAAAGGAAACAACTCAAAAAATACAGCACTCACAAATCCTCCCCAATGAAATAAAAAGAGAAAATACTGAACAAGTATATCCAGCCAATCAAAAAATACTAAGAGATCATGGAGCAATATTTGCAAAGTTCTGAGAGAAAGAAATTGTGATACAGAAATATTATACCTAGCCAAGTAATCTTTCAAGTACAAAAACAAAAGACAAGTATTCTCAAGCAATGAAGTATGCAAAAACTCAGGGGATACAGCACCTATAGCTTGCAAAGACTAGCTGCCCATACCATTCAGTCAATCAGGAGACTGATCAACTAAGGAATGGAGAAGCTGCAGCCCTGGTAATGAGGCCTAAAACCTTTTAAATACAGAACTAAACAAAGTAGGACAGAATGTAAATGTTAGAAACCTTGACAACATAGTACAGAATACAATGAACCAAAACCAGGAAGTGGGAGAGAGTAGGAGTGTTAATTCCTTCATCTTTGATGCCAGGGAGTCAATAAATAGCACTCTGAAAATTCAAACGTGTAGTTTAAAAAACAACTTGTCCAATTTATTTATATTCTTTATATCTTTTTTTTCTTAACTCATCTCTTACAGTGAAGCATTTATCTGATATTCAGCAATTCCTTCAAGTTCTCTTCTTTTAAATTCAAGTAAAACTAAATGAATAATTATTCAGAATAGCACGAAAAATATAATCCTAGTTTTATAAAGTTGTTTCTGTATATTTATATAGCTTTCAGAAGTGCATAGAACAGGGCTTCCCAGACATATGCATGTCTAAGAATCAGCTGGAGGGCTTATTAAAACAGGTTGCTGGGCACCACCCTTAGAGATTCTGATTCAGTACTTTTGGGATGGGACCCAAGAACCTTCATTTTTCACAAGCTCCAAGTGAGGCCACTGCTGCCATTCAACATACCACGGAATAGCACCCATACAGAAAAATCCCTGGAATGAAATTTACCTACTTGTGTTTCACGGTACTGAGATACAGGGTGATTTTTTAAAACTTTATTCTTCATATTTTCTTAGGTATTGTTTAAGTTTTTGTATAATAAATGTTTCATTTTTACCCAAACAATAAGTCATTATTCTAAAGAAAGTTAGAAGCAAGAAACACGAACCTGTTTATATATATAATTTGTTCAAAAGCTTTCTCTGAGATCATTAACTTTCTTTTTTCCTCTGAAAAACAATTGTTTTATTAAACTCACCTACTCTCAAAAAGTTACAAAAGTTTTTCTCTATAAAGTGGTTACAATGAAAAAAAACTGATAATTGCTATTCCAAAAAGAGGCATATAGTTTCCCACCTTACCAGATTTAAACTAATTTAATATTTAACACCAATGTAATAGTTCAAGTCTTATCATCAGTTAGACCTACTGGAAATGTACAAAATACTCCATGCCTACTATAAAGACAAAAATAGTCCAAATCAATAATAATTTGAAAACATGAGGACAACGTTGTTATATAATACTTCTAAGTACAGTAACCACTGATGACATTTGAACCTTCAGTACACTATTTCTTCTAAACAATTATAACCTTTTAATAAATTATTCCCAAATATTACTTTATTATAGTTTTATGGCTTAATGACATCGACCTAGTTCAAAAAAGAAATAATGATATGGGTAAGACTTACTAAACAAACACTAAATGTTCTGCAAACTAGGAATAAATATGTTATCTAAAAGTTATTTGGGTAAGAAGGAAACAGAAACCCATTGTTAGAAACAGGTCAACTTTGTGTAGTTTTCAAGAGGGAAGTTTAGATGTAATTCCATTTAGAGGCAAAAATTTCAAGAATAATCATTATTAATTCTACACCAGAAAAAAGGCCCAGTAAGCTTGATTTAACTCTATACCTTATCACAGCATTTATAAAAAAATAAAAATTATTTTAAGTTAGTAGTAGAAAAACAAAATGCTAACAATTCATTTAAAAGGAATAAGTTTGGGCCAGCCGAGTGGCTCAGTTGGTTGAGTTAGCTTAAGAGCGCGAACTCTGAGCAACAAGACCACCGGTTCGATTCTCACATGGGCCAGTGACACTGCGTCCGAGCTAGCTGCTGCTGAGCTGCCAACAGGTGGCAAGATGGCTCAGCTGGCGAGAGCATGTGCTCCTAACAACAAGAGTGCCTGTTCGATGGTGGGCTATGCCAGCCCGCAACTAAGACCAAAATCGGCACCTTGAGCTGAGCAGCCATCCAGGTTGCTCAGTGGATACAGTGTGCGCTCTTAACAACAAGGCTACTGGTTCAACTCCTGCATGGGATGGTGGCTACGCCCACCTGCAACTAAGATTAAACACAGCACCTTGAGCTTAGAGGCCAGCAGCTGCCGATGGGCAGCCAGATGGCAACTGGCACCCTCCACAACTAAGATTGAAGAACAACTTGGCTGGTCCTCCTCCCCAATTCCCCAACACTGCTCCACTCCCCCAATTCCCCAATTAAAAAAATAATAATAAAAAAATAAAAGGAATAAGTTTGCTGGGATTAGATTCCAAAAGCCCTTAAATATCTCTAAATAGCCCTCTAATAAAACTGGATAAAAAAGTAATCAAAAATAAGATCCCTGCAGAGTATAACCAATCAAAAATATACTTACAAGTAGAATGTCTCAGTTTTTCCTAAATTTCCATATTTTTTAACAACTTTTGTTTTTATCAATAACCTTAAATCAATCAATAAAAATTCATATTCTATTATTCGGTTAAAAGTACCAAATACTTTTAATACCTTATATCTGCCAAAGAAACATGAGAACCCAATTTTTTTGCTCTTTTAAATAAAAATTTTTTTTTCTAGAGTAAAGCTTTAATACTCATTTTAGATATTCCTCTAATACATTTATTGAAAAATATTTAAGAATTATATTCTGGTTATTAATACTGTCATTTCTTACCAGGATCTGCTAACCCAGTGGTCTCTAACAGTATGTAATCAAATTTCCCCTTCTTCTGCATCAAATTCTCAATAGCTCTAAGGCCATTGTCCCTGGAGAATACCAAAACATAATATACAGTTGACTGCCTGAATATTTAAAATGGTCTTTACAAACATTTAGAAATATATTCAGCAACCTGCGACAAAAATATCTTTAGATGTGTGAAAATTTAACTCACTCCCAAGCTTCTATCAAAATTTCCGTTCAATATTTACCAATGAGGGAAAAAATAGATGCATATACACTGATAGGTAAAAAGAAATCAGATACATGATGAGTTAATACTTTAGTTTTATTAAAATTAAAAGCAGAGGAAATTTTAATATACCTGACTAAAGTAAGTCAGAATCTGTTATTTTCATAGCTTTATGAAAGAAAAAAAAGCAACATCCAAAATAATGATAAAATTCATGAATTACAGTAGTTTAATAACAGCTAACAGGATACTACCATTAAATATGTTTAAATTCTGTTCTGCATTAGAGTATCAGGCTTTAATTTCCCTTTTTCCTTATAACATCAAAAGTACAAGAAAATAATTAATGGATTGCATTTTGGTTGTTCAAGAAAATGTTATTTTAGCTTTGTTAATATACTTGACTCAAAGTCAAAAAGTAAGATAGTAAATGATGTGGAAGAAATTTAATTCACTAGAATACACAAAATCCACAGTACAAGTCTTAACTTTCCTAATTCACTCAACAAATATTTGAATGACTACTATGTGTCAGATCCTTTTCTAAAATCTGTGGTATATTAGTGAATAAAACAGACACTGTGCTTGGAAACTATAACTGGTGGAACATAATGTGAGGATTTTCTCTTTTTTGGTCATTTATTTTTGTTCTTAGACACTGAATTCTTAGAGCTAAGACCAATGACTTATTAAACTCAGAATTGTTCTTTACACAGGAAATGAGACTGCCATGCATCACAGAAAGTATTAAATAATCACTGACATCAAAAACAATAAAAAAATGCAATAAAAGGTCCAAAGCATTAGAGTACATAGAAAAACAAATACGATAGCAAGAAACACTTTAAAAGAATGCATCCTAATAGAGCTATATTCTATTTGAAAATACAAAAAAAAAATACTGTTTAAATTCAGTTAAATTATACAAAAAAAATCAAAGCTGGAAATATGAGTAAACATTTATAGTAAACCAAAGCACACAGTAAACATATTCCTCACTTTACTGAACAGCAGAGGCAACCGTTTCTAAGTTCCAGCCATTCTTCATAGAGCTCTCCACCTTGGCTCACAGCTAAGGATTTTTCCACTGCACTTCCTGGAATAAGTAACAAGAAGCAGCTTTAGCTTATGTTCACTAGGCAACCAAAAAAAATATGAGGATACTCAACAATGAAGCAAATTTCAAAGTAGAAAATACATTTTGTAACTTTTATTCTTTCATTCTATTCATGCAGCCTCAATATTTTAAACTATACTACTCTACATTATCTTAGTTTTTATTTCTTTAAGAGGATTTAAGCCCCTAAAAAGGAAAATCAAAATTAATGCATCAGTTACTTCCTCTTTAGGCCTCCTCCTAGTGCACTCCTATTTCCCAATAAAGTAGCTATGTCAGAGGCACTCGTTCTTGTCCATGGCCAACTTTCCAGATGGAAGAGTGTGTTTTATATATTAGTTTTTATAGGCCCTTCAACCTCGTAAGGGCTTTATCTATATTTTTCTTTTCACTCTTCCTCTAAATTGTCTTTGTTTCTATTAGACATGCTACTCAGTGCTCCCAGTATAAGTTAAAAACCTTAGTTCATTTGAGGAAGTTTGCTTGGCCAATGTGTTCATTTAAAAATTAAATTTCAGTCAAATAGACATAAGTTTCCTGGCAATGCTTACTTGAGAAAAAATAAAGTATATTTGGGATTCTGATATCCTTGTTACTATATAAGAATGATTTCAAATGTTTTATTTTTTCTCCAATAAAGAAATACACCAAAGCCAGGGAAGATTTCTAAATGTCCAGTAAAGCAAATGGCCAAAAAAAGGGAGTAATTTTTCATTTATATATTTTTTTGTTTATATTTCAGTTAGGTGATGACAAAGAGCTTTGAAAGGAGTTGCTACAGAATTCAGGGTGTAGAAAACATTAACAAAATGTGAAGTAAAGTATTTCAAATGCTGTAAAGGACAAAATTATGAAAATGATTCAGAAAGAATGAAGAAAAATAGTAAGAAATAATAAATGCAATCAGTGTGCAAAAGATCAGTTCATAAGCAGTTAGAATATAAGAAAAACTTAGGATTTTTATTTTGTCCAGCAAGACTTTTCTCTTTAGTTAACTAAAATCAGAAATCACATTTCATAGGCATCCCATCCTGTTCATAAAACCTATTTTTACTAATTTACAATCAAAGATATACCGTATGTCCCCAGGTATAAGACACTCCCATGTATAAGACGCACCTTAATTTTGGGGCCCGAAATTTGAAAAAAATGCATTACATAAAGTTATTGAACTCAAGTTTTTTTTTGTTTGTTTGTTTTTTTGTTTTTTAAAGATTTTTATTGGGGAATTGGGGGGATGGGAACAGTGCTGGGGAATTGGGGAAAGGGGAACAGACAAGTTGCTGTCGTTTTGTTCTTCAGTCTAGTTGTGGAGGACATTGCTTCACTGGCCCAAGTTGGCACCATCATTGTGCTCTTCCCGGGCGAGGCAGATCAGTTGCCAGCTTCTGGACGGCCGCTCACTGCGGCTGCTGGCCGCTCACGCTGGCTGCTGGCTACACACAGTAGCCCGTGGCAACCTACTGCCACAGGGGCTGCAGCCTACGCCGTCGCCGGCGACTCATGGCAGCCCAGCTCCAGGTTGAGCTGTTGTTCAGCACCTTAGCTGTAGAGGGCAGTGTCACTGGCCCTCATATGTGGGATCCGAACCGGGGCCCTCTGGCATCCCAAGCGAGTTCTTAACCATCGCGCCACTCGGCCGGCCCGAACTCAAGTTTTATTCATCATAAAATTCATACAACTCCTCATCACTTGCGGGAAATGCAAATACAAAAATCTACAACCACTGTATAAGATGCACACAGTGTTTAGACCCCAAATTTTTTGGAAAAGGGTGCGTCTTATACATGGGGAAATATGGTAGTATACCTTAAGAAATATCCCAACAGAAGTTATATTTTTTTAGTTAAAAGTAAGCTTTTATTAAAATTCACACATGAAGAAAAACTTATCAAAGTAATCAAAGAATTGTGTACTGCTATAGAGATTTTTTAAAACTACAATTCAATATTAAAGACAAAAAAAACTGAAATGTTAAATTGCATGTATTTTCACACATAACAAGTTTCTTGGGGATGACGAGCATATGTTCAACTTATTTTTAAAATCTTCAGTTTTAACTGCTTTGCAGACAATAAACATTGAACAAGGTAACTTATAATAACTAACGGATTTTCATATTTTTCAAAGTTGCAATTAAACAATATAGTCAGTAAAAAAGCTCCTTTCTAGTTCCTGAAAGAACTTTTTTACTATCATATATCATAGTTTTTCACTTCTGGAGTTATTTGTTTCATGTAAAAATCTAATTTAATTCCATTGGTATGAATTCCAAAGTTACACAAAATAAAATTTTATAGAAAACTATCTAATTTCAATATTCAAAATCTGTACAAAGTAAAGCTTGACAGAAATTAATCTAATTTTCCAAAACTATACACAACAGTGTATTCACATTATAATGCCTTGCATTTTCACTTTCAAATATGGAATATCAATTCATAAGTGGAATGAACTGTCCATCATGGCATTTATTGCACTTTACTTACCTTCCCCAAATTCATTCAAAATAACTGCTATTCGTTTACTATGTTGCTCTGTCAAAATATAGTTCAGCAGTGTCGTCTTCCCAGCACCTATAAAATATATTTGTTTTAAATAACAAAATTCAAAGACTAATTTTAAAGACACAAAAAAGATATAGAGTCACAATGTTTTTAAAAATTTACATGCTATTTTTCAAATCTTATTTAACTAAAATTATTCTAGGATTAAAGTACCCTTTGAAAAGTATTAAAAATGTTTCAACATAACATTTTATAAATATTGACAAATACTACTACAAGTTGGATCACACAGCTTTCTTCAACCTCATGACAAAAATAATATGCCTTCCACATAACATATAATACAATTAATATAAGGGCATTTAAATTTTCTATTAAATAAGAAATTATTGAAGTAATGGCTTCCAAGCAAAGTACTCAAATAATTTATAACATATAAAACATTTAAATCCCTTTGCATGATGATGTTTCTTAGCAAAGAATATACAGTCTAAGTCCCTAAAATTTATATATGACCTTTTATTTTAACTATTCATCATTAGCTATTTTTAGTATGCTTAAAGCAACCTATAAAACTGATTTTATATATGTGTCATACACATAGAAAATGGAGAATGGATACAGGAAATGATAATAAGACAGAATATTAATTATTTAAAAAGATAAACTCATAAAGCTACACTAACTTTATCCAGTAGGTGGCATGTTAAACCTAATATGTTCAGTTGAAGTAGAAGAAAAACATTTGTCTTGTGAGCCACAGACACCAAAGTTCATAGAGGAAAAAAGCAGCAACCCTAACTGCACAGTAGTATAGTTCAATTGTATAAATATTGAGTTGTTGGAAAACTCATGGCACATTTTTGCAATGAAAAACAAAAAATACGTCATGACTTTCCCAACAACTCAATATATCATTTATCTTTTTTTTTTTTTTAAAGCTTTTATTGGGGAATCGGGGAAGAGGAACAGACAAGTTGCTGTCCTCTTTTTCCTTAGTCTAATTGTGGAGAATGTCACTTCACTGGCCCATGTTGGTATTATCATTGTGCTCTTCCCGGGTGAGGTAGTTGCTCCCCGGCCATTGCACGGCCGCTCAGGG